TCACAATCTCAGAAACTACGAAGGTACTATAATGGCAGCCATTTTCCCATTACATGTTTAATTCAATAATTGGCCCAAACTATGGACATTTGCACTTCGTCATTACCAAATTTGTTGAGTAGGATTTTTATTATAACAATAACAAGTGTCAGCCGACAATTGTCACGGAACAAGACATGTATTCAACGCAAATTGAAACTGACTTAGCTGCACGTGTTCTGGTCGCTGTATGCATACTGTATCTGACCGTTGTATTTCGTCAACATGTTAGCGTTCATTTCATGATAACTCCCTATCTTTATTATGATTGTTTACCTGATTAACGTGCTTTTCGGTCTTCTGCAAGCAAGTTGCTTCTTGACTGTTATCTTTCAGTAATAGCTTCATGTTTATGTAACGTTATGATTCGGGTTGCGCAAATCACTCGTTCGGTTTAGTCTTATCTTTCTTAATTATTTACAACAAATCGTCCACATTTTCATCGAAGTTAATTATTTCTAAGCACGCGGATTTCGAAGTTAGTTCGAACAATATTTTGCAGACCAAGGTGAAATACTAGCTGTGAATAAAATCTCGATGCAGTACACAGGTCTAACCAACTTTCTGTCGTAAGAATTGGGGGCGGATCCAGGATTTCCTAAAAGGGGGGGGGGGGGCCCCGAGAAATTTTTCTCAATTCTCATTATAAACTTCTCCCCAGTTTTCAAACTTATATAAACTGATAATACATGTACATTATTATATTTACTGCACTCTCATATGTATATCCAAGGTTTTCAGTTACTTTTTGCATAGGTGGTTAAAAATCTATTATAACTAATTAAAAGCAAAAGACCCCGGCCAAAGCACTGGAACAAGTTTGCCCTCCTCTCATGATCATCACTAAATTTATACACAATATTCATGAACAAAACTAAACATATTTTAACTATGCAATAATCCCAGGTGAGCTATTAAGGCCCCTGGGCCTCTTGTTTAATTTCCATTGGAGTTAATTCAAACTTGGTTAGCATTATCAGTATTGGATAGCAGTTTGATGATATGCACAAATCAGCCCTGACTGACCCCCAGGGGCTGATGGGTGGGACCAAAAAGGGTCAAATTGACTATAATTTCAAAAAATCTTCTTCTCAAGATTTAGATATGGTAAAATCAAATGCTCTTCATAGATGGAAGGGTCTTAGTTGCTTTAAAAATAAGTCAGCTGACTTACAGAACCACTATTTGTACATAGTACATATACTACCCAGATCTTTCACACTACTTTTGCATTACACGTAGTTCAAGTTACCTTTGTTACACAATGATTCTTTTTCATTTGGTAAACTTTTATGGCATGGTGCAGCGTCCATCGTCCGTCGTCCGTCCATCGTCAACATTTTACTTTAAACAACTTCTTCTCAGTAACCAAAAGGCCTAGGGAGATGATATTTGGCCAGAAGCATGCTGCGATGAAGGGCTACCAGTGCAAGTTTGTTCAAATAAATGACCTTCATCCATTTTCAAGGTCACAGGGGTCAAACATGTTAAATTCTTTAAACAACTTCTTCTGAATAACCAAGAGGCATAGGGTGATGATATTTGGCCAGTAACATGCTGTGATAAAGGGCTACCAATTTTGTTTAAATAAATGAACTTGATTTATATTCATGGTCACATGGGTCAAATATGTTTAAAACTTTTCAACAACTTCTTCTGAATAACCAAGACTCCGAGGGTGATGATATTTGGCCTGTAACATGCTGGGATGAAGGGCTACCAAGTTTGTTTAAATAAATGACCTTCATCCATTTTCAAGGTCACAGGGGTCAAACATGTTAAATTCTTTAAACAACTTTTTCTGAATAACCAAGAGGCATAGGGTGATGATATTTGGCCCGTAACATGCTGTGATAAAGGGCTACCAATTTGGTTTAAATAAATGAACTTGATTTATATTCATGGTTACATGGGTCAAATATGTTTAAAACTTTTAAACAACTTCTTCTGAATAACCGATAGGCCTAGGGTGATGATATTTGGCCATTTACATGCTGGGATGAAGGGTAACCAAGTTTGTTCAAATGCATGACCTTGACCTTTATTTAAGGTCGCAAGGGTCAAATATGTTCAAAACACATAAACAACTTCTTCTGAATAACCAAGAGGCCTAAGGTGATGATATTTGGGCAGTAGCATGCTGGGATGAAGGGCTACCAAGTTTGTTCAAATGAATGACCTTGACCAACTTTCAAGGTCACAGTTGTCAAATGTCTTAAAATCTTCAAACAACTTCTTCTCAATAACCAAAAGGCCCAGGGTACTGATATTGATATTTGGCCTGTAGCACTCAGGGCTACCAAATTTGTTCAAATGAATGACCTTGACCTACTTTCAACCTAATGTCATTGTTTGACATTCAAGGTCACACTGATATTCTGCCTGTAGCTGTATTTTAGTCCACTTTTAAGATTACAAGTGTGAGATTAATACCAGGTGAGCGATGCAGGCCCATTGGGCCTCTTGTTTATTATCTTCCCTTCAGTACATAAAACAACAGGCCACAGTAAAACTTTGGGTCAGGATGTTACCCATTTGAAATAAACCTGATGAGCACTGTGAAGGGTGAAAGCTGCTAGATTTGAAGTCAGTCTTTATATTAAGTATATATAAGTTGCAGTTTATTATATTTTTCATTAAGGAATCCCTGGCTGCATTCATTATTGCACATTCACATGTCACTTTATTTTTAAGGTTGGTCTGTATTTCAATTAAGATGATAACACTTATTGTATCAATGTTTCTGTATAACAGAAAGTTGCTGCAGGCCATGTCCCCCAATGACCTACTGACCTCTGTGTCGGCTGCTTTTCTTGACGTCACTGGGTCAGAGGTCATAGTTGAACTTCTGGTAACCAATGAGCTGTTGGTCGTCATGGATTGTGAAGAGGATTGTCAGCAACAAGCTTTTTCATTGGCTGAGCTAGAGGTTAGCCTGAAACCTGGAAACCCACACCTTTTGACCCTACTTTGGAAAGATAGATCCCATCAGGCAACAGGCGAGGTAAATACGGTGTACTTTCAAAAACCTCAACAAATTTGAATTCTTTTTGAAATTTCCATGGGGGAGATTCTGCATGCGCAAAATTAAAACCTTAATAAAATGTGTGTGTATACCCCATAGAAACAAAATTATCCTTTAATTGAGTTATTCTCAGTTTAGTAATTCACTGATTGGAAAATCCTTAATTTAAGGGTCCAAATTGGGTGTCGTTTGTCTGAATAGGGAGAGTTGGTAAGTATAATATTGCATGAGAAATTTCTGGAAGATAAAATTTCTCATTAAATGGTTTGCTTTGATAGGAAACTGGTTTGTAAATGTGTACCAGATACCTGTAAACCTGAAACAAAACTTATCACAGATGATAGATTTTAGCTCACCTAGCCCAAAAGGGCCTAGTAGCATGCTTGGATGAAGGGCTACCAAGTTTATTCAAAGGGTTAAATATGTTTAAACCTTTTAACAACATTTTCTAAATATCCAGACAACCAAGAATGATGATCTTTGGCTGCTAACATGCTGGGATGAAGAGCTCCCAACTTTGTTCAAATGAATGACCTTGTGTTATATTCAAGGTCACAGGAGTCAAATATCTTCAAAACCTTTTAAAGACTTCTTCTGAATAACCAAAAGGCCCAGGAAGTTGATATTATGCCAGGAACATGCTTGGATGAAGGGCTACTAAGTTTGTTCAAATAAAAGACCTCGATCTATATTCAAGGTCATAGGGGTTTACTGTCTTTAAACCTTTTAAACAACTTCTTCTGAATAACCAAAAGGCCAAGCATTTTGATATATGGCAGTGATTTGCTGGGATGAAGGGCTACAAAGTTTGTTCAAATAAATGACCTTGTCATATACTCAAGGTCACAGGGGTCAAGTATATTAAAAACCATAAAACAACTTCTTCTGAATATCTCAAAAGCTGAGGCTGATGATATTTAGCCAGTATCGTGCTCAGATAAGGAACTTTGAATGTTGCACCATTAGTCCTGTCATAACAGTCAAATGTGTTGGAAACTTTCAAACAAATTCTTCTGAATAAATTTTGCCAGTAGCATGCTCAGATGATGAACTATCAAGTTTGTTTATGTGGATGATCTTGACCCACTTTAATTTCAAGGTCACATGGCCAAATGTCTATCTAGGGTGGTTATATTTGGCAACTTGCATGATGAAATGAAGTGTTATAAAGTTTCAGCTTAATGACCTTGTAAGATTCAGGGTCACAGGGGTCAAATATGTTTAAATATTTTAACATGTTGTTTTGAATGACTTACAGTTATAGATTATAGTCCACTTTAAGGTTACAAGTGAGATATCAATACCAGGTGAGTGATGCAGGCCCACCAGGTCTCTTGTATTACCTCTCCTGTGACACATGCATGCCCTTCTCAGCAACAATGTGTTGTGTATTTTCAACTACTTTGAGTACATCAGAACCTGGGGCTGAAATTCTGTAATTTTGACTGCCATACTTGTGTTTAAGCCTAAAATTTGCATCTAATGTTTTCTTGAAAAACATATTATTTATTTCCTGATTATCTCCTCTTCAGTATGAGAATGAGAACAAGGACCGAGTGGAAGCTTTCATAGATGGCGCTGCTGATTATGTACATGTGTCGCCCCCTCGATCGCCCATAGGAGCCGAGAGTCAGTCAGATTTGTCTGTCTCTCCGCCAGGTCAGGGTGGTGTTGTCCCACAATTCCATTTCCTGTTGGATTCCTGTCACAGGGAAGCTTTCATCAATATATTCAACCTGGCCAAGAAGAGGATTCAGGGCCAGGGATTTGCTGTGTAATTTATACAACTATAGACCTTTCTTGAAGTCAGTGCTATGTATTATCAACCAGCGAAAAGAAATTGTCCTTGATTCATATACTATTTTTCATTAGACTGACAAATCAATGACAATAATGGCATCAGTTACATCATTTGAAATCTGTTAATACGTCTTTATTGAGTTAAAGTGATTGAAATACGAAAAGAGAGGTTTTAGTAAAAAATATGAATACCTACACATGAAGCTGATGTCTTTCTCCAGTTACACAGACAATATGGCCTGGATGTATCATCTATGAAACAGAAAAGCAATTGTGCACCCTAATGCAGCCATATCTGTCCATATTGAGAAAAGGGTATACATGTGGACACTCAGAATGCAACACTTTTGGATATTTTTACATGGTCTACATTACTAGGGCTTAAAGTTTAACAAGCCCCCTAAAAGATGCTATAGTCACCTAAACGTTCATTTAAATTAAAGGGTATTGGAATATGACTTGCCAGGGGGTTGACATTTTGGATGTCTATTACATATTGTTGAACCTTAAAGGCAATGTCGCTGTTGATTTAGTGTCCTGATGTCGGGTAAATTTAAGAAAGAAAAAAAAAACTGTAGTACATTATAAATGTAATAAACAGTAATGTGTAATATTTATTTGAGGCCAATTGTTACTTGTCGGTGTGGTCCAGTGGAAGTCTACACCTACAGGGGACCAGTCTGTGTGGTCCAGTGGAAGTCCACACCTACAGGGGACCAATCAGTGTTGGTTTAGTCCCCATGTGGGACTGTTTTTGTTAAATGTTGTTTAGAACGATTTTCTTTGCCTGTTTTTCCTTTTAAAAAATTGTATAATGCCTCTGTCCTGTGAAGTTTTGTGTTTATGTGCTTGTAAAGTCTTTATATAATTCCTTCAATAAAATCCACATTGATCCTTCACTAGTGAAATACACAACTACAGGATAACAATGTTTCTGTCAAAGACTGTAGTGGCTACAGCAATCATTGAATCACATGTACAGGTATCATACGTGTAGTGGAGGGGAGGCTCTCACTTGTGATGCCTTTGTTTGAAACACAGATTACTTTTTTGTATTTTCAGTTTTGTGAGGAAAAACACTTACATGTATCCCTGTTAGGCATGCAGTTAAATGTAATTTGCTTTAATTCTCATAATGAAAGTGAGATCTATTTTATTTGTCCATTTTAGTTTGCATGTTCATGTGAGATAATGCAATTGCATCCACTTCCCCATCAACAGAATGCTAGTCCAGAATTGCTGAAGGGACCAAGGCCTAATCTGAATAGTTTCATAAACTCTCTGCTGTTTTGATTGTGTTCAGGTGTACATGTCTGTTGGCGCTATATTGTATATATAGTAATTTATTGAAGTTTTGTTTTTACGTAATCAAGTCCACAGATCACGTTGTTGGTGATGAATGTCTTTCATGCAATAAAATTGACACAATTACAGATGAAATACATGTGTAAATATGTTTTAAAAAACATGCAATTAATGAAATCTGTATTTACAGGATATTCTATATAGTAACAAGCTGGAGGTTGGATGAAAGCGTGTGTTAAATATTATAATCTGTGTTTAACTGTTGTCTGTTGGTTAGCCCTGATAAAACATTGGTCATGTTAGTCAGACACAATGTACAGGCCTCTGGGACCTTTTGCTTGCTATTCCCTGTTTATACCTTATGATTTCTTACTTTTTTTATTGGGACTTATTACAAAATTGACCATTTCAGTTATATACAATGTTTTAAGGAGTTTGTAAAAATCTCTTAGAGGACAATGCCAACCTTTTATAGGTTATAATGCAAATAAAATAAAAAGTACAAGTAACATTTTACAATACTTCACAAAGAGTCGTGTAAATCAGTCAAGCCTTACCGTCTAACCTCTAGTTACCCTGGAGGCCTTGGCCATGGATATTGATGGAGTGAACAAGATACCTAAGGTAATGAGTGTCACAGATTTGGGTACTCGGTGTCCATACTGCGTGTCCGTACTCTGGCAACGCCACAGTTTATTGTGTGAATTTTCAAAATACAATGTTTGCCTAAAGCTCAAAGAACCTGGTAATAAAAAAACTTGAACGTGAACTTGAGATAATAATTTGATTGTTAAAACAAAGTTTCATCACACCATCACACGAAGAATATGTCGTGAATAGTTTCGTTCAGAGGTGCAAATCCCTGTGAGGATGGGGAAAGGTTACTTGTGTATGTAATGTTGCAGAAGTGACCTCATATGACCTTAGTTGTAAGGTTAAGCGTATCAAACCACAGGTACCAGTGTAATGTGACTGCATACATCCTGGATGTCAGGGCTGACAGCACACAGCCTGGAGCCAGGACCACATTTATACTTATCTGGTATAATGTCAGGGCTGACAGGACACAGCCTGGAGCCAGTACCTCATTTATACTTATCTGTTATAAGGTCAGGGCTGACAGCACACAACCTGTAGCCAGTACCACATTTATACTCATCTGTTATAATGTCAGGGCAGACAGCACACAACCTTGAGCCAGTACCACATTTATACTCATCTGTTATAATGTCAGGGCAGACAGCACACAGACTGGAGCCAGTACCGCATTTATACTTATCTGTTATAATCGAGGGCTGACAGTACAAAGCCTGGAGCTAGTACCCCATTTATACTTATCTGTTATAAGGTCAGGGCTGACAGCACACAAACTGGAGCCAGTACCACATTTATACTCATCTGTTATAATGTCAGGGCTAACAGCACACAGCCTGGAGCCAATACCACATTTATACTTATCTGTTATAATTTCAGGGCTGACAGCACACAGCCGGGAGCCAGTACCACATTTATACATATCTGTTATAATGTCAGGGCGGACAGCACAAAACCTGGAGCCAGTCCCACATTTATACTTATCTGGTATAATGTCAGGGCTGACAGAACACAACCTGGAGCCAGTACCCCATTTATACTTATCTGTTATAATGTCGGTGCTGACAGCACACAACCTGGACCCAGTACCACATTTATACTCATCTGTTATAATGTCAGGGCGGACAGCACAAAACCTGGAGCCAGTCCCACATTTATACTTATCTGCTATAATGTCAGTGCTGACAGCACACAACCTGGACCCAGTACCACATTTATACTCATCTGTTATAATGTCAGGGCGGACAGCACAAAACCTGGAGCCAGCACCACATTTATACTTATCTTTTATAATGTCAGGGCTGACCGCACACAACCTGGAGCCAGTACCCCATTTATACTTATCTGTTATAATGCCAGGGCTGACACCACACAGCCTGGAGCCAGTACCTCATTTATACTTATCTGTTAGAATGCGAGGGCTGACAGCACACAACCAGGAGCCAGTACCACATTTATTCTTATCTGTTATAATTTCAGGGCTGACAGCACACAAACTGGAGCCAGTACCACATTTATAGTTATCTGTTATAATGTCAGGACTGACAGCACTCAGCCTGGAGCCAGTACCACATGTATACTTATCTGTTAGAATGTCAGGGCTGACAGCACACACCCTGGAGCCAGTACCACATGTATACTTATCTGTTAGAATGCGAGGGCTGACAGCATATAGCCTGGAGCCAGTACCACATTTATACTTATCTGTTATAATGTCAGTGCTGACAGCACACAACCTGGAGCTAGTACCACATTTATACTTATCTGTTATAATGTCAGGGCTGACAGCACACAACCTGGAGCCAGTACCACATTTATACTTATCTGTTATAATGTCAGGGCTGACAGCACACAGCCTGGAGCCAGTACCACATTTATACTTATCTGTTATAATGCGAGGGCTGACAGCACACAACCTGGAGCCAGTACCACATTTATACTTATCTGTTATAATGTCAGGGCCGACAGCACACAGCCTGGAGCCAGTACCGCATTTATACTTATCTGTTATAATGTAAGGGCCGACAGCACACAACCTGGAGTCAGTACCACATTTATACTTATCTGTTATAATGTCAGGGCTGACAGCACAAACCTGGAGTCAGTACCACATTTATACTTATCTGTTATAATGCGAGGGCTGACATCACACAGCCTGGAGCCAGTCCCACATTTATACTTATCTGTTATAATCGAGGGCTGACAGTACACAGCCTGGAGCCAGTACCACATTTATACTTATCTGTTATAATCGAGGGCTGACAGTACACAGCCTGGAGCCAGTACCACATTTATACTTATCTGTTATAATGTCAGGGCCCACAGCACACAGCCTGGAGCCAGGACCGCATTTATACTTATCTGGTATAATGTCAGGGCTGACACCACACGGCCTGGAGCCAGTACCACATTTATCCTTATCTGTTATAATGTCAGGGCCGACAGCACACAGCCTGGAGCCAGTACCGCATTTATACTTATCTGTTATAATGTCGGGGCTAACAGCACACACCCTGGAGCCAGTACCACATTTATCCTTATCTGTTATAATGTCAGGGCTGACAGCACCCAACCTGGAGCCAGTACCACATTTATGCTTATCTGTTATAATGTCAGGGCCCACAGCACACAGCCTGGAGCCAGGACCGCATTTATACTTATCTGGTATAATGTCAGGGCTGACACCACACGGCCTGGAGCCAGTACCACATTTATACTGATCTGTTATAATGTCAGGGCTGACACCACACAGCCTGGAGCCATGACAGCACACAGCCTGGAGCCACGTCCACATTTATACTTATCTGTTATAATGCGAGGGCTGACAGCACACACCCTGGAGCCAGTACCACATTTATCCTTATCTGTTATAATGTCAGGGCTGACAGCACAAACCTGGAGTCCGTACCACATTTATACTTATCTGTTATTATGTCAGGGCTGACAGCACACAACCTGAAGCCAGTACCACATTTATACTTATCTGTTATAATGTCAGGGCTGACACCACACAGCCTGGAGCCAGTACCACATTTATACTTATCTTTCAACGTTAAGAGAAATATTTGGGTTTTGTTACAGGCTGGTTAGATTGGATATGATTGCAAAGATTATTCAAAATATTGTTTTTTATTTCGAATTTTTGTTGAATTGCGTAACATGTATATGGTAATGTAGACTGTATGTATAAAGGAGGCAAGGTTAAACTTCAACACACTTATTCTCACAGAATAAACATCAAACATTATAACTGTGTTTTCTTTTCATTTAGTAGGACTCATAGTAAAATTGGAGGCTTAGTGTGTGCCACCTTGTTGATGAGACAAGAAGACTAGTTCGATCGTTTGATGTACATCAACATCAAACGAATCTCATGGTTGTGTACAGGTAAACATTGACAGGCTATGAAGTCAGGTGTCAGTTCCTCTGTAATCTTCAAAGGATAGATATATCGGCCAGGAGATTAGGAAGGTTTTTTTTACCCGAGACCAATCAAATTGCTAGCTGCATGCCTTCAATTTTGCTATGACATATTCTAAAGGTGCAGAGAGCATAAGTGAGAATTACCCCTGGATTATCGATGATGGAAATAGAGGTACATTTTTTTTTTTTATACCCCCACTTTGACGAAGTCTGGGGTATATAGTGTTTGCTTCGTCCGTCCGTCCGTGTGTCTGTGCATCCGTCCATCATAAAGGTTTCCGAGCATATCTCCCGTACTATTTCACCTACAGTTATGAATCTTGGTTTGTGGGTACATGCATGGAATGCGGTGTGTTGCGTACCATATGTAGGTCACTGTGATTTCTGACCTACATAATGTCGTAAGAAAGGTTTCCGGAGCATATCTCCCGTACTATTTCACCTACAGTTATGAATCTTAGTTTGTGGGTACATGCATGGAATGCGATGTGTCACGTACCATATGTAGGTCACTGTGATCTCTGACCTACATAATGTCGTCAGAAAGGTTTCCGGAGCATATCTCCCGTACTATTTCACCTACGGTTATGAATCTTGGTTTGTGGGTACATGCACGGAATGTGGTGTGTCGCATACCATATGTAGGTCACTGTGACCTCTACCATGACCTCTGACCTACGTAACGTGAGACGTGCAGCATATAAACTCTTCACTTGATTCTTAAAATCCACATGCCCACCATTTCTGATAAATTGGCCATGCTAGACTGACAAAAACCCAGGATTCACTATGCAGTAGATATATGTATATCAGTTTTTCGATATAAAAAACATATGCGCTTACAAATATAATCACTTTACCTGTACTTTTTCAATAAGTCAACAAAGTCCATTCCTTCTAGAATGTCTAAAGCTTAGACTGTAGACACAAATGCCTATTCATCACAAACTTCATTAGATAACTTTTTCTCTTGTAACGTAACGTTGACTTTTGTAACACAACTTCAGGCATAGGACAGATTCCATGACGAAAGGACATGAAGGTAGATATGTTTGATGACCTGAGCTACCCTGCTAGATCAGGGTGCCTACTATATACGACTTGTGTCATCCTTGTACAGAGCCCCAGTATTGGTAACCCTGCTACAAACGAGGCCATAGTCGAAGAGATATCAAGTTTGAGGTCTAAACATCCCATCAGTCAGTTCTTGATCAGAGGAGACTGGAACTTGCTCGATATAGATCGGAAAATCATAACAGTTACAGGGAACCAATACCTAAGGGAAATTAGTAGCTGTACCAGTAGCTGCCTACCAACTGTTCCTTGGAACAAATTGTCACAGCACCTACAAGAGGGAGCGACATACTGGATGTCTTCCAAACAAGTAATCCTTTCTTCATATCTAAGTGTAAGACTTAACCTGGTGTCAATGGTCAAAACATTGTCATTGTCGACTCCAAGACCATTGCCAGCTGTCTGAAGCCATATTGGCGAACAATTCATCTCTGGAACAAGGCTATTACCTTCAGGGCCTCCATGAGATGCGACATTATTTGCTAGAGACTTCATGACGAGAAACTTTGGTCATGTCTGTGAAATGTTGGAGGACTTCAATCTAACACTGACAGCAGACGACTCATTAGACGTAGGGACCGAGCCTACCACAAAGCCTGAATAAACATTGACATCAGACGACTCATTAGGCGTAGGAACCAAGCATACCACAAAGCCTGAATAAACATTGACATCAGACGACTCATTAGACGTAGGGACAGAGCCACTGACATCAGACGACTCATTAGACGTAGGGACCGAGCCTACCACAAAGCTAAAGCCAAGAAAAAGGATTGTGACTGGAGAAAATACCATACTCTGAAGACTGAGGCAAGGAGAAAGATCAGATCTACCCAAAACCAGTATGTAAACAACATCATCAGTCCAGACTGCAAGCAGAACCCAAAATGATTCTGGTCCTTTATCAAGAGTAAAAGACAGCAGTCCTCTGTAGTTGCACCATTGTAGAAGAGAGATGGCTCTGCTGTGCTGGAAGTAGGTCCGAAATCCTAAGTTTTTAATTTAGCTATGTTAAACCAGTGAAGACATGACCATTTGCCATCCCTGGGTCATCATCAACACCATAACAGAGCATGGAGTATTAAAGCTTCTCGGAGGGCTTAAGCCACACGAGGCTTCAGGACTGTACTCCATACTAGTAAGGCTACTCAAGGAGCTACAGGA